GTATGGATTAGAGACTGAAGTAGTCCTTAGGTAACTGAGATGTCTGAAACAAGGTTGCAATGTATGCAATGCATCATGCATCAAAAATATATCACATAAGTGTAGATCGCTACACACAGGGTGCCAGAACTACTTTCCCCTAGGAGTTCTTTTTATTGAGTAAGGATGGAACTCACTGATTTACAGATCAGACTTGCTGATTAACTATATGCTATGCACTGAACTTCTTACACCTGGAAATCAAATTTAGAGGCTGCAGGAGTGAGTCTGAAGGAAAGAATTTGGTAGATTTCGGAAGTGGCTTTCTTGATTTCCTTGGCAGAAACAAGCAGCCATAAACTTGGAGACTAAACAGAATCTGCCTTGGGGGCCTGTTCTGTCTTTGCTGGCTCCTGCTTCCTCACCGTTTCTTCTCACCCTGTAAATGCAGAAACAGATTTCCATGGAACTGGTTTACATATATATGTATGTCACTCCATTACTCAGCACTTGATGATTTGCAGCTGAGTTTGTGAACTGGCTCCACTGACATAAGAAGAAAGCTTTTGTCTGTGGTGTTTCCTCTGTGATGTTTCATTCACACATCACTTCCTACACTGCGCGATGAACATGCACTTCAAGGCTTTCTGTGAAAGCTGCTCTGAACTTCTCAAAGTCTTTATTGTCATATGGTATGGTAAGAATCCTGAAACTATTACCTCAAGAATCGGGATGCCAAGTAATACTGGGCTGGCCTATGAATGAAATTCCATCGTAGTATATGGGGCCATGAACCAAATGGCCCAGTGAGGAGACCATGGGATGGGTGGACCACAAGAAGACTGGTGAGAGCTTGTCTCCTCTTGGTGATCTTGGTTGTTATATCAAAAATGAGACACTCCAGGCCAAAACCGTACATAACGTTTGGAAATGGATGACTGCTTCTCTTGTGTGTGCTGCCAACTTAGTAGCTGCCTGAGTAGACCAGGGGAGACAATCTGGATTGGGCTGTGGCACTGGAGGGGGATGGTTTTTTAAAATCCTTTTATCCCTGCTGTGTTTTCTTGGTCTCATTTACCCTCCTGGAGCTATTTGCCTTGTGAGACAAATGCAACGTGTCTTATTCTTGAGGCAAATAGTCCTAAAAAAAATGGAGAAGAATTCAAACTAAAGCATGTGGGGATGACAGATTCACTTCAATACATTCACAAAATTTGCCCATACAAGGATCCTGTGAACTAAATTGGGAAAATGAGGCTGAAAGACAAGAATTTGCCAAGTGTACTCCACAAAAACTTCATCGAGCACTGTGGATTCGAGCAGGAATCGATTCCATCTCTTTATTGTGAGGGACAGGAAGGATCTCAATAAGAAACTCTCCCAAATTATTTTCCCTAGCAGGCCTCAGCAACCTTGATATGGTTCTGCTGTGATTTATATCCAGTTTGGTCCTGATAGCAAATGGAATTCCTTCTTGCCTTCATCCTCTTTCTTAAGAGCTAAAAAATACATGACAATGGGAGTTTCATGAACATATCTTCTTATCTGAATATCAGGTTATGAGGCCTTTGTGAAGATGGGAACTGCAACACCATTTTTCTAACAGGCAACAGCTCAGGGAACTGCTGTTTTCCCCATTGGGGTATTCATATCTTCACTGGTATAATTCCACAGCAGGGTAAATAGTTCACTAGAGCTGTTACAGGATGGGAAAACTGTTTGAGCCCTTGCAGCAGAAGTGTATAAAGGGGAGGGAGAGACTTTTGACTGCTCTGTGTGCCATGTAGTTGTATAACATGGAAACCCACAGAACGTTTATTTTCCATCTGGGCAGCTTTGGATGACATTTAAATATTTATTTAATTCTAGTATCATGCACATTTGTACAGAATAACTACACTTAGTCCCTACTTCAATCCCATTTGCTTTCTTTTTCTTTGCAGTTATCACATGGTACAAGGATAACCGACCTCTAACCAGCACTGCTAGCATCAGTTTCTTGAACAGAGGTCAAACTGTAGAGATTGAGGGAGCCCAGATCTCCGACACTGGCATTTATAAATGCACTGTGGTGAATGCGGCAGGAATAGCTGAGCTGTTCTACAGTCTTCAGGTTCATGGTAAATATTACCTCATAAAAAAGACAGGCTGGGGTGGGGGGGAATACCTTTCTTCGTTTCATCTGGTCTTTTGAAGTTTTATTGCAGGAACTTAACATCTTCCAGGTACTTGTTAAAATAATTTTCTGTGGGGACTTGGAGAAAAACAGAAAGCTCATTTTCTAGTGCTTCCGTAACTCAAAATGGGAAACCACTCCATTCAGTACTTGACAGAAGTATGCATTGTAGTCGTGCCTGGAAGATGGATTTTGGCGTTGCTGTTTCAGCAAGCTGCAAGTTCAAATTAGACATCACCTGGGAAGATCCATGAACAGACTTGTAATTCTTAAAAGACCTGAATAGCAGCTACAGGGGCCCTTGATTCAGATTCGGGCCATGGTGCAGGGGGAGGGAATCTTCTTTCCCTTCCTATTCCATTTTTTTCCAGCCTTGACTAGCCTCCATAGCTGGTATGTGTTCTGTGGGGGACTGAATAGCAGCTACGGGGGCCCTTGATTCAGATTCGGGCCATGGTGCAGGGGGAGGGAATCTTCTTTCCCTTCTTATTCCATTTTTTTCCAGCCTTGACTAGCCTCCATAGCTGGTATGTGTTCTGTGGGAAGCAAAAATGGCCCTGGAAAGGGCGCTGCCCTCCAATAGAGGGAAAGGAGAAAAAAACCTGGGATCTCATCATGGTGGCTGCTCGCCTGGCCCACACAGTGACTGGACAGCCATCTTGCTTAAAGCAGCAGATGTTTTCCCACTCAATGTGGGGCCAGGACACCTGGCTCACTCTCTGCTGCAGCTGCTCACCTGCTCCGCATGGGGAGGAGGCTGTTGGCTCCCCACAGCTGCAGCTGCAAGGGTGACCAGCTCACTGCAGTGGGGATTGCAAAGGATGCCAGATCAATGCAACAGTGGCTATGAGGATCGCCCCAAAAGAGCCTCAATGGCTAATCTGCACCAGTGGGACAGGCACTATTGCTATTTAGTTTTTTAAAAGGAATTGTAGGGAATCTGTTCACATGTAACATCTAGTCTGGCCTTGCGGAGTTAGTGTGGTGTAGTGGTTAAGAGCAGTGGACTCTAATCGGGACAGCCGGGGATTGATTCCCCACTCCTCACATGAAGCCTGCTGGGTGACCTTGGGTCAGTCACAGTTCTCTCAGAACTCTCTCAGCCCCACCTTCCTCACAAGATGACTGTTGTGGGGAAAGGAAGGGAAGGTGGATTGTAACCTACTTCGAGACTCCTTAGGGTAGAGAAAAGTAGGGTATAAAACAACTATTATTATTATTATTATTGTTGTTGTTATTGTTATTGTTATTGTTATTGTTATTGTTATATTGCTTTTATTCTTTTCAGCCCTTTCAAATTCAGAACTCACTTTTAATCCCAACTGGTCTGGAAACATGGAACTTATTTTATAATTTCTACTGCTTTATATCTGTCTGCTTCTTTCTTTCGAGCTGTCTTTCTCTTTCTCTCTTCTTTTTCTTAGGAAACAGATTCACCCCCAGCTTTTCATGCTATCTGCTGGTGCTGATGAGGTGAAGAACACACATGGTTTGCAACACATGAACCTTTGCCATTCATATTCTACTTCCAGGTTCTGTTGCATAAAGATTTGTTCCTCATTTAAGAGGAACAGATGTTTTGCACAGTTGGTCCAGATATTAATCTGGATGTTCTGACCCACCCTGTTAATTTCCCTTTACATCAAGTCTGCCTCTTTCTCTCTAGCTGTCTTTCTCTTTCTCTCTTCTTTTTCTTGGGAACATATTCACCCCAAGCTTTTTATGCTATCTGCTGGTGGTGATTAGGTGAAGAATGCACATGGTTTGCAGCACATGAAACTTTGGAATTCGTGTTCTACTTCCAAGTTATGTTGCACAAAGATTTGTTCCTCATTTAAGAGGAACAGATGTTTTGCACAACTGGTCCAGATATTAATCTTCTGACCCACCCTGGTCATTTCCCTTTTCATCAAGTAGGCATGTAGCCAAAAATTTTACAGTGAGGTGATCAGGTATGAGGGAATTGTAAGGCAACTTGAAACTGCTAAACCTGAGTATAAGTTATTTATTAACTTCAAGTTATTTATTGGTACAAATTAAAATAGATTTTTAAATACCAGGTGCTCCATTACAATCTGTGGTGGACGGTTCTGTGGTGGACGGTACCTGAAGTTCCATTAACAGCTGAGGTATTCGCTAAAATAGATTAAGCAATTTTTGCTCTACACAAAGAGTGGAGTTGTAACCTCTTGAAATTGTTTCAACCTGCTACATAGGAAGTAACCAAAACGTTCATAAGATGGATGAGTGATAAGGATGTGGAACTGGAAATGTATCATTCTAAATTCCTTCTTGAAAGTAGAAAAGCTCAGGTTAATCAGAAGGAAAGAGAGGGGGTGGCAGAGACACAGTACCAGAGCGTATGATTAGCAGTTGCTTAGAGGTGTAGCACTATGGGAACCACTAAGAGTACAAACTGAGTACAATAGATTCTTCCCTTGTGAGATCTTGAAGGGCATACATAAGTCTTAGGCAGTATGGCATCAGATAATACATATGCCTTTCTTCCCTTTCTCTCATCTTACATGGAACTGAATTCTAACCCAGAAAGCCAGACTCCAGAGCAATGGACAAATCCTGATGTGTCCAATTACTCACTGTTCTTTTAAAAATTCAGGTTAATCAGAAGGAAAGAGAGGGGGTGGCAGGGTCTGAGAGAGCCACAGTACCAGAACATATGATTAGCAGTTGCTTAGAGGTGTAGCACTATGGGAACCACTAAGAGTACAAACTGAGTACAATAGATTCTTCCCTTGTGAGATCTTGAAGGGCATACATAAGTCTTAGGCAGCATGGCATCAGATAATACATATGCCTTTCTTCCCTTTCTCTCATCTTACATGGAACTGAATTCTAAACCAGAAAGCCAGACTCCAGAGCAATGGACAAATCCTGATGTGTCCAATTACTCACTGTTCTTTTAAAAATTCATATTCATTACAATAGCTATATTAATGTATCGTTGTATTTGTGGTTCATTTCTTGATTCTCTAGTTATTCTCTAGTTACATATCCTTAGTAGGTATGTACCGTGTTTCCCCAAAAATAAGACACTGTCTTATATTTATTTTTTCTCAAGAAAATGCATAGAAATCCTGCTAGGGCTTATTTTTTGGGTAGGTCTTATTTTCGGGGAAACAGGGTATGTGTGGTTGCCGTGTAGTGAGGGACAAGTACTCTGCATGTCCCCGGAATATATTCTTCAGCTTTTCGTAGTCTTGGCATTGAAATCAGGGCTTCTCCATGACTCAAGTTTATTTAGATTTTTAAAATATTTATATCCCGGCTTATTTCAAGGCAATTAAAAATGCGACATGTTGCATGGACACACAAAAATAATAAAAGCCCATTATTGAAACTAATGCACAGATAAAAAAATGCCCATATCTCCTTCTCCCCTACCTGCCCAAATATATTGAGGGATTCTAGGGCTAAAGCCATCCCAAGAATTATGCCTTCTTCAGACATGTTGCATGGACACACAAAAATAATAAAAGCCCATTATTGAAACTAATGCACAGATAAAAAAATGCCCATATCTCCTTCTCCCCTACCTGCCCAAATATATTGAGGGACTCTAGGGCTAAAGCCATCCCAAGAATTATGCCCTCTTCAGACATTAAGCCTTAATCCCAGCTGTTGGGGAAAGTAAAGACTTGACAGTGGTGGTTCATTGGTTAATAAAAGGAATCTGTCACTTACTTAGAGGTATGGATATTTACACAGTCCTTGTAGTCACTCCAAAACAGGCTGTTAGTCCAACAGAGTGCTACGCCAGGCATCAGTAACCATGTAGGTCAGTCAATGCACAGTACACAGCAGGATATATACAGCAGTCAGCCAATCACAATACAATTGCCGAGTCAAAGCTGATGCAACTAGGGTTCCCAAGTCCAAAATACTCACCGGTGGGGGAGCCTTGGCTGGCTCCAAAAGCCGTCCCCAGATGCGTGCACGTGTCGCCAGCACGTCACAGGAAGTGATGTGCAACGTCGACCACATTGAGGGCATGGCCACAATCGTCAAAGGGAAAACCATAGAGTTTTCCCTCCGACGATCTGGGCCACACCCCCAACGTGGTCAACGTGCACATTACTTCCTGTGATGCTGCGCTTCGGGGGCAGAGTTCCCCCTGGGGCCCGATTCCGCGGCGGTGGAAATCGGGCCTCCAAAGCGGGGGTTTACCTGCCCCCCGCCCCCACTTAGCAGCCCGAGA